AGAGTATCTCATGATAAGCTGTACACCACACTATTTACCAAGAGAGTTTTCTTCTATATTTTTCATGGCTGTCTATTTACCACCACAAACCGATGCTGGCACTAAGATTGCACTCAATGAGCTGTATAAGGCCATAAGCAAACAGGAAAACGCTCATCCAGAGGCAGCGCTCCTAGTGGCCGGGGACTTTAATGCAGGGAAACTTAAATCCGTTCTACCTAATTTAAATGTGCAACCAGAGGGGAAACAAACTCTAGACCACCTTTACTCCACACACAGAGACGCGTACAAAGCTCTCCCCCACCCTCCATTTGGCAAATCTGACTATAATTCTATCCTCCTAATTCCTGCTTATAAGCAAAAACTAAAGTAGGAAGCACCAGTGACTCGGTTAATAAGGAAGTGGTCCTATGACGCAGATGCTAAGCTACACGGGGGCCCCTCAGGGGTGCGTGCTCATTCCCCTCCTGTACTCCCTGTTGACCCATGACTGCATGGCCAGGCACGACTCCAACACCATTATTAAGTTTACAGATGACACAACAGTGGTAGGCCTGATCACCGACAAAGATGAGACAGCCTATAGGGAGGAGGTCAGAGACCTGGACGTGTGGTGCCAGGACTGAGTATGCCCCCTTTCTCATCGACGTAGCTGTAGTGGAACAGGTTGAGAGCTTCAAGTTCCTTGGTGTCCACATCACCAACAAACTATCATGGTCCAAACACACCAAGACAGTCGTGAATAGGGCATGACAAAGCCTATTCCCCCTCAGACTGAAAAGATTTGGCATGGGTCCTCAGATCCTCAAAAAGTTATACAGCTGCACCATCGAGAGCATCCTGACTGGTTGCATCACCGCCTGGTATGGCAACTGCTTGGCCTGCGACCGCAAGCCGCTACAGAGGGTAGTGCGTACGGCCCAGTACATCACTGGGGCCAAGCTTCCTGCCATAAAGGAGGAAGGCCCTAAAAATTGTCAAAGACTCCAGCCACCCTAGACATAGACTGTTCTCTCTGCTACCGCACGGCAAACGGTACCGGAGCGCCAAGTCTAGGTCCAAAAGGCTTCTTAACAGCTTCTACCCCCAAGCCATAAGACTCCTGAACAGCTAATCATGGCTACCCGGACTATTTGCAATAAACCACACACAGAGGGCCGTTTCCTGGACACAAATTAAGCCTATGAGAATGACAAACTGAATTGCTTTCATGGAGGACTGGCTTAAATTGTGAGGATGACCATACAATCTATTTTCATCATGAGCAAAAGCTATTGGTTTTCTACCCAAATTTGCAAAGAATAGGTTGTGATTCATTTAATAAACACAAGAGACCAGCCACATGGATAAAAGTGTGGGGGCAGTAGTGAGAACAGCGGCATCTAGTGGGCAAAACGTGGTACTTGCACACTAATTTATGGTATTTTATTTTATTTTATTTAACCTTTATTTAACCAGGTAAGCCAGTTGAGAACAAGTTCTCATTTACAACTGCGACCTGGCCAAGATAAAGCAAAGCAGTGCGATTAAAAACAACAACACAGAGTTACATATGGGGTAAAACAAAACATAAAGTCAAAAATACAACAGAAAATATATATACAGTGTGTGCAAATGTAGCAAGTTATGGAGGTAAGGCAATAAATAAGCCATAGTGCAAAATAATTACAATTAGTATTAACACTGGAATGATAGATGTGCAAGAGATGATGTGCAAATAGAGATACTGGGGTGCAAATGAGCAAAATAAATAACAATATGGGGATGAGGTAGTTGGGTGGGCTAATTTCAGATGAGCTGTGTACAGGTGCAGTGATCGGTAAGGTGCTCTGACAACTGATGCTTAAAGTTAGTGAGGGAGATAAGAGTCTCCAGCTTCAGAGATTTTTGCAATTTGTTCCAGTCATTGGCAGCAGAGAACTGGAAGGAATGGCGGCCAAAGGAGGTGTTGGCTTTGGGGATGACCATTGAGATATACCTGCTGGAGCGCATACTACGGGTGGGTGTTCCTATGGTGACCAATGAGCTAAGATAAGGCGGGGATTTGCCTAGCAGTTATTTATAGATGGCCTGGAGCCAGTGGGTTTGGCGACGAATATGTAGTGAGGACCAGCCAACAAGAGCGTACAGGTCACAGTGGTGGGTAGTATATGGGGCTTTGGTGACAAAACGGATGGCACTGTGATAGACTACATCCAATTTGCTGAGTAGAGTGTTGGAGGCTATTTTGTAAATGACATCGCCGAAGTCAAGGATCGGTAGGATAGTCAGTTTTACGAGGGCATGTTTGGCAGCATGAGTGAAGGAGGCTTTGTTGCGAAATAGGAAGCCGATTCTAGATTTAACTTTGGATTGGAGATTCTTAGAAGCTCAAACTGTTTGGGCACAGACCTGGATAGTATGATAGAGCTCTGCAGGCTATTGCTACAGTAGATTGCAACTCCGCCCCCTTTGGCAGTTCTATCTAGACGGAAAATGTTGTAGTTCGGGATTGACATTTCTGAATTTTTGGTGGCCTTCCTAAGCCAGGATTCAGACACTGCTAGAACATCAGGGTTGGCAGAGTGTGCTAACGCAGTGAATAACTCAAACTTAGGAAGTAGACTTCTGATGTTAACGTGCAGAAAACCAAGGCTTTTACGGTTACAGAAGTCAACAAATGATAGCTCCTGGGGAGTAGGAGTGATACTGGGGGCTGCAGGGCCTGGGTTAGTCTCTACATCACCAGAGGAACAGAGGAGGACTAGAATAAGGATACGGCTAAAGGCTTTAAGAACTGGTCTTCTAGTGCGTTGGGTACAGAGAATAAAGGGGGCAGATTTCCGGGCGTTGTAGAAAAGATTCAGGGCATTATGTACAGACAAGGATATGGAAGGATATGAGTACAGTGGAGGTAAACCTAAGCGTTGGGTAACAATGAAAGAGATAGCATCACTGGAGGCACCGATTGAGCCGGTCTATTTGAGGCAGTTTGAGAGGGACTTGGGGTTCTACAGTGAAGTTGTATAATAAGAACTAACTGGAACAGCAATAGGCAAGGCATATTGACATGGGAGAGAGGCATAAAGTAATCACAGGTGTTATTAGAGAGAGCTAAGACAACAACTGGTAATGGCGATAAAGTTTGGGCTGAGGCTAAACAGAATAAACAGGACAGGGTACCGTGTAAAGGAACAGTCCAGCAGGCATCAGCTGTGCAGCTGAGTGATCATAAGGTCCAGTGAACAGTAATATGTGCAGTTCAAATTGGTGCTTCAGCACAGCGAGCAGGAGCACGGTTGTAGTTTGCGTGTGCTAGCGGGCCGGGGCTAGCAGATGGATCTTCGTGGTCGTCGCAACGGGAAGCCTGTTGAAACCACAGACGATTACGTCGGCAGACCAGTCGTGATGGATCGGCAGGGCTCCGTGTCGACTCTAGCAGGTCCCGTCCGGTTGACAGAGAGGTAGATAGCCGGCAGATGTGCTTGACTCAAGGCTAGCTCAAGGCTGATTAGCCAACAACAACGTTCATATGGTTGCAGCTAGCTAGTTGCGATTATCCAGTGCTAAAGGTCCAGTGATTCCGGCAGAAAATCTGATGTTCTGGGTGAAAACCGCTGACGGTGGCTAATAGCAAGTAGCTAGTGCAGACTGGCCGATAATAGTCCAGACTAGAGCTGGCTTGTAGGTAGTGCAGGCCATGGACAATGGAGAAAAAGCCGCTAACGGTGGCTAATAGCAAGTAGCTAGTTAGCTGGTTAGCTGACTACTCCCGTCCGGTAGACAGAGAGGTAGATAGCCGGGGCTAGCTCAAGGCTAACTGGTGCTACGGGGGCAGTGGTGATTAGCCTACAGCGACATCCATTCGGTTGCGGCTAGCTAGATTCGGTGTTAAGGTCCAGTGATTCAGTTATTCCGGCAGAAAATCCGATGTTCTGGGTGAAAACCGCTGACGGTGGCTAATAGCAAGTAGCTAGTTAGCTAGTTAGCTGGCTGGCTAGTTTCAACTGGAGATTTTAGATAAAGGTGAGTAAATAATAGAATCCGTTCCACATTGAGTGAGGCGGGTTGCAGGAAAGTATATTTAGTAGAAAAAGTGTGATAGGGAAATATATACGTGAAACACAAAAAAAATACAAAAAACTGGCTATTTACATGGACACACAAGAGAACACGACCGCACTGCTACGCTATCTTGGAATTAATGGTAAATAATGCAAGCGACTTCAAAGGCTAATTTCTCTGAACAGGGGAAAAACAACATCACCAGATTCCCAGGTCTCTAATGGGTGAATTACAAAGGATGAAGAAGCAATACTCCAAACAGCAGCTCCATACTGCTTGTCAAACATAGAGAACCGATACTGTATACTAGTTGTTTGGCGTGTAGTGTCCGTGGGTGGCTTTTGATCAGTTTATTGGATTCTTCATGTCTTGAGTTCTATAAATGAAAATGGCCAATTTGAGTGCAATCAATTAGCTTGTTTTCTCAGAGACCAAGTTATATTTCAACAAAATAATGTTTCAGGAATGCTAATCTTATCTGTTTCTAACTACAGAAAGGATTTCAGGACAGTCTGCAATAGTGGATGTCGAAACCCTCTTGTGCTTTTTGAGGTGGAATGACTCCTCAGCAGGGTTCCGCAATAGGCGGCCTGTGGGCCAAATTTTCAGAGCAAAGAAAAATATATATAATACAAAAATAATAATAATAAATTATAATGTTTTGTTGTTGGACATAAGACTGTAAAATCACCAATTTAGTAAATCTGTTCCCTAGTATTCCCACGCATAAATAGAAAGGCATGTGTGATCGTATCCCAATGTAATCAAGGTTTGAATCATGATGATCTTTTTGTCAAATAATATATCTGTTTTTCGGATTCCTGTGCTCAATTTGCAGCGTACAAATGATTTATAACTATGTTCTGGTCCCCTTAACATCCGCTCAAGAAAATATTGGCCCATGGCTGACTAATTGGGGAACCCGGTATACTGGTTATTGTTGCAACATCACTATGATATATTTAATTGCTAGTATGTTATGCTGTTATAGATATAGCATAGTTTTAGAAACACAGTCATTATATGGTAAATATAAATCTGTCTTGACTGAGCTTTTTGATTCGGACTGACTTTCTACTATTTTATCCTACAGTTCCTCCTCCTGTCAACGTGCGCCTGATCTGCCACAATTTCCACAATGTGATCTATTGGAACTACAGTGAACCATCTCTACAGCCACAGTTCAATGTGGAAATGAGAAGAATACATTCTGGGTAGGTGCTGCAGCATATTGGTTGCTTAATCGCTCACGTTTATATTTTTCACCAAATAGGGCCTAGGCTATCCAGTGTAGCGTATATAGCTAGTGAATATTAAATGTTTCTTGCCACAATACCACAATTGCCACAATTTCAAGTAGAAATTGGAAAATGTACATGCACTGTCAGACCCATAGAAATGTAAAGTCCTGTCAACAGTTCTTTGTCAGCTTCTCCATTGTAATTGTGAACTAACATTTCAGTCCAAATCAGAGGTTGCCACTAACCCACAACAATTGTTTTCCTCTATCTTTCAGTGCTGCCTTGGTTTGTTCAAACACTTCACTCTACCACTGCGATGTCTCCTCATTTACCAAAGTAATTGAAGAGGGCTACCGTTTCATATTAACTGCTGTTGTTGGACAAAATACAAATTCCTCTGAAATTTCATTCACCTACGACGATATTGTGAAATCAGACCTGGTGGATGTACAGTGTAAGTTCTCACACTGAGCTAACCAAAAGGCGAATTATGGGAACAATGTTATACAGTATGTAGCGATTGACAAATAGAATTGGGGTAGTATCTTGAAAGGGTTTGTAAATACACTGTATGCACTGCAGCACATGTAGCCTTTATTTGTTGATCTGACCACAATGCTCAGAGGTGGGAGATTTTGCACATATTTTCTGACCTCAGATTTGCACGAAGTAATGGTCTTTTGTGTGTTTTTTTTAGGCTCATTGGATTTCCCACCTGTCAACATCTCAGCTGTATTTGATAAAATGATAAAAGTTCAATTCATTCACCCGTTTCACATCTACAAACATGCCATCATCAAATATGAAAGACCGGATCATAAGGAATTAGATTACATGGTTATCACAGAATATCACTTGGTAAGAACTGACAGAAAATCATGACTTAGGAATTACTATTTGATGGTTTCGAGAGATTTAGATTTTTCTCATGTGTATACCCGCTGCAAATAGTTTTCACTTGCAAGCAAAGCAGCTTTATTTTTCGAAAGGGAACACATTTATATATTTTTATGAACATTATATAAAACACGTTTTTCAGTTTTGTTGGAATATAGGCTAAATATATTCCTTTTTTTATTTCCCCAGGAAGGGTTTAATTTTACCTGCTCCTACAAGCAACACCATATGTGTGAGGCTGAAATACCAGTTGATGGAGAGATGGACAGGCACTGCATCAAGATAAAAGGAAAAATGAAGAATGTTCCTGTTTCAGCTCACCAGAACATATGCATTGAGGTGAAGCATGAGGATTCTGGTAAGACTTTTAATTTCTCACATGATGGAAATGTCAAAGTGACATTAGGTCTCAGTAGGTCTGTTATTGTTTAGCAAATATTGTCTGTAATCATTTGATAAACCACATCTGCTAATATCTGATACGTGCTTTGAAAGTTATACCTGTCTATTGTCATACTATGACTGATTTTGTCATCAAATGCTCAATTAGGATGCTGTACAGTTTTGTATGTGAAATCAGTTTGACTGTCAGTCTAACTGCTGGATTTGTCCCCTGTAGGTCCTAGCTACACTGCCCTCTACATTGTGATCCCTATCGTTGTCATGGTTGTGATTGTGTTCATCGTGTGGCTGATATACAGTAAACTGACAACTGGCTCATTCCCTCAAACAAAGTCTTTGGTGTGTTCAGCCTTTCAACTGTTTGGCCTGCACTGCAGTGGATTTATTCATAAAGCTACTCCATATAGACTAGATTATAGTCATGTAGAGATGGTTTCAGGAGAGCACTTGTTGGTACATTGTAGAAATGATGAGTGTCATGTTCCTGTTGGAGTTATTAAACTATTGATATGCTACTTCCTGCAAACACTGTCAAAACAATAGTACATTAAAAACATATTTCACCCACAGAATGTTTCACTGAATGTTGAATATTCTCCTTCTCTGGTAGGCTTCCATGCTGTCACATATGGGTTCAGGTGTGTCCCTTATGCACCCTGAGAGAGCCATTCTGAGTGAGGTACAAACAGGTGGCTCCCCCCTCCTGCAGACCCCCGTGGATTTTTTGCCAGATGAGACCCTCACAGTCACCAGTACCCCCCAGGAAGAGGTCCTCCGCCTCCCCATTGGACTGAAGGACCAGGAGTGGAGCGGTGGGGACGTCATGTCGCCCAACGAGGGGTCAGGCTCTTCACTGGAGGTAACGAGAGGGTTGGGACTGGAGGTAAAGAGGGACTTCTCTGAGCTGTCGGACTATGACTGCCCCCATAGACCTGTGATAGAGGAGATGAGTCCTGGGGACACTGTTACGGGATACAAGATCTGAGATCTGAGTTTCTGTCAAGAGATGGTCATGTTTTGCTTTATCTTGACCAGGTCGCAGTTGTAAATGAGAACTTGTTCTCAACTGGCTTACCTGGTTAAATAAAGGTGAAAAATAAAATAAAAAATTGTATTTGCATATCCTCAGCTTGGGCATCCCCTTGACTGTACCCAAATCTGTTTGGGGGAGAGCAGGGTATCAGTTTAGTCTTTGATTGGTTGTTCTAGGCCCACAGCCTGGAGTACAACCAACCATTTTCCTGTTCCTTTCACATTTCAATGGGCAGTCTATGGTGGAGATGGAGAGGATAATCAGAGGGGTAACCTGGGATAGTGAAAACCAAGTGGTATTGCATTCTGGGAACTAGTGTAAAAAATACATGTCCTCATTCTTGGCCTGCCCCATTGTAATGTTGAATTTCATTAGGCCAAATTAAGACATTTCCTATAGCATCTTTGTACAAGAAAATCTATATAGTTCCTCTTGTCCATTATTTTACTGTGCCTTCTTAAGTGGGTTGGGAGAGCAGAATGAATATATTCATTAGGTTATTGTCTTTTGTCTTGTGCTGTGTATATTTGTTGTATTTGCAGTTTTTACATGGCTGTCATTTATGTACAATGTTCCAAAATATTACTAGGAACATGTCCTATTATATTCAGATGAACAAGTTAAACCAATGCAAGGGGATGTGGTGATAATTTCTGTTGTTATCGGTGCCTTGCTGTTTGCCCTGTACCTAATCATTTAGTTTTTGATTGTGCACAATTTTGATATCATACAGCAACATATTTTTCTTTTAATGATTAATGATAAGGCTTTCTCTATGTTGTGTGCAAAAAATTTGGTTGTTTTTAATTTAAACTCAGCAAAAAAAAGAAACGTCCTCTCACTGTCAACTGCGTGTATTTTCAGCAGACTTAACATGTGTTAATATTTGTATGAACAAGATTCAACAACTGAGACATAAGCTGAACAAGTTCCACAGACATGTGACTAATAGAAATGGAATAACGTGTCCCTGAACAAAAGTAACAGTCAGTATCTGGTGTGGCCACCAGCTGCATTAAGTACTGCAGTGCATCTCCTCCTCATGGACTGCACCAGATTTGCCAGTTCTTGCTTTGAGATGTTACCCCACTCTTCCATCAAGGCACCTGCAAGTTCCCTGACATTTCTGGGGGGAAGGGCCTTAGCCCTCACCCTCCGATCCAACAGGTCCCAGACATGCTCAATGGGATTGAGATCCGGGCTCTTCGCTGGCCATGGCAGAACACTGACATTCCTGTCTTGCAGGAAATCACACACAGAACTAGTAGTATAGCTGGTGGCATTGTCATGCTGGAGGGTCATGTCAGGATAAGCCTGCAGGAAGGGTACCACATGAGGGAGGAGGATGTCTTCCCTGTAACGCACAGCGTTGAGATTGCCTGCAATGACAACAAGCTCAGTCCGATGATGCTGTGACACCGCCCCAGACCATGACGGACCCTCCACCTCTAAATTGATCCCGCTGCAGAGTACAGGCCTTGGTGTAACGCTCATTCCTTTGACGATAAACACGAATCCGACCATCACCCCTGATGAGATAAAACCGCGACTCGTCAGTGAAGAGCACTTTTTGCCAGTCCTGTCTGGTCCAGCGAATGTGGGTTTGTGCCCATAGGCGACGTTGTTGCCGGTGATGTCTGGTGAGGACCTGCCTTACAACAGGCCTACAAGCCCTCAGTCCAGCCTCTCTCAGCCTATTGCGGACAGTCTGAGCACTGATGGAGGGATTGTGCGTTCCTGTTGTAACTCGGGCAGTTGTTGTTACCATCCTGTACCTGTCCCGCAGGTGTGATGTTCGGATGTACCGATCCTGTGCAGGTGTTGTTACACGTGGTCTGCTACTGCGAGGACGATCAGCTGTCCGTCCTGTCTCTCTGTAGCGCTGTCTTAGGCGTCTCACATTACGGACATGGCAATTTATTGCCCTGGCCACATCTGCAGTCCTCATGCCTCCTTGCAGCATGCCTAAGGCACGTTCACGCAGATGAGCAGGGACCCTGGGCATCTTTCTTTTGGTGTTTTTCAGAGTCAGTAGAAAGGCCTCTTTAGTGTCCTAAGTTTTCATAACTGTGACCTTAATTGCCTACCGTCTGTAAGCTGTTAGTGTCTTAACGACTGTTCCACAGGTGCATGTTCATTAATTGTTTATGGTTAATTGAACAAGCATGGGAAACAGTGTTTAAACCCTTTACAATGAAGATTTGTGAAGTTATTTGGATTTTTACGAATTATCTTTGAAAGACAGGGTCCTGAAAAAGGGACGTTTATTTTTTTGCTGAGTTTGTTTTAAAATCACGTTTCCCCTATAATTTCCCTTATATTTGTTTTTTTGTATTTTCTTTGCATACTATACAATAAAAGCTAATTATATGGATTCTTGTAATTACTATGTTAATAAATGCAGATTTGAAAGAGCAAACAAATTGTTATCCTTGCATGGTAGACTGAAGGACATTTTCATGTCAATGAAATTCTACCATAGAGGAAGGGAAGTACATATTTCAGCAAAGCCAAACAACAGGTATTGTATTGATGAATATTGAAGCAGACCTTAAAAGGAAAGAGCCTAACTGCTGTTATTGAAATGCTTCCTCAAAAAGGTACTACTAAATAAGTACGAACTGTTGGATGTCTATGTTTGCACAGGTCGCATATAAGACTCCCCATTGGAGACCAGGGTTCAATTCCCGTGTCCACCCTTCCCACTGTTTCTCCGACTTGCCTGTCTCCCCCTCTGATTTCCTTACTGTCTAAATAAAAAGAAAATACAACAAATATATATATTTGAAACAAAAAGTAATGGCACCATCTGAAACATGCTGCTGTGCAAATGAAACCCACTCCTAAAAGTGAAGTGTGAAAATACATGATTGAATCCTGACCTTATTATATTGAAATGAGCATGAAGATTGTGAACATGAAGATTGCAGTCGCAGACATAGGTAGTGGTACATTGGCAATGTTAGCATAGAAAAAAGGAATCTGCATTAGTATATAAAAGTCTCTGGTAGCTTCACTTTAGACAAGAAGAGAGGATTCCGTTGCGGTCTATATTTTTTTGAACGGTATAGGCCTTCACATTCGATTCTCCCAGCAGCACTGAGCTGTGGATGATCCCAAGCCTGGCCTCTTCATAGTAAGGTGCACACATGTCCCTCCCCAGTATGATGCCATGTGTCTGGCCAGACCGCCTTAAGGGGTACGACACAGTCAGCCTCTGCAGATGCTGTACTGTGAAAGAGCCCAAAGAGGCTTGCTTGCTTCCTACAGAGTTGCACTTGATCAGCGTGAGATGCCACACCTCCGAGTTGTTCAGCAGGAGGGACACGTTGAGTGGGGACGTGTACCAGATGGTCAGGCGTCTTATTTGCACCGAGCTGGAGCTGTCTGACCGGTGCAGCAAAGAGAGTGAGTGGTCCTTACAGGTATACTCTCTGGGGATGATGACGCCACAGGCCACCAGCTCATGGACACAAGCACAGTATAACAGGCTGTGGTCAGTCACGTGGGCCAGTTTGAACTCTGGCCTGAGGAGGCCGGAAACCGCCATCAATATCAAGCAGGATAACAGAGCCTGACCAAGGTGCCTGAGGGCCGACGTCTCCAACGAGGCCCTCACACAGCACAGCAACCGTGATTGTACTCCCGAGTGGCAGGGCTCTAAGGCACTGCATCGCAGTGCTAGCTGTGCCACTAGAGATCCTGGTTCGAATCCAGGCTCTGTCGTAGCCGGCCGCGACCGGGAGACCCATGGGGTGGCGCACAATTGGCCAAGCGTCGTCCAGGGTAGGGGAGGGAATAGCCGGCAGGGATGTAGCTCAGTTGGTAGAGCATGGCGTTTGCAACGCCAGGGTTGTGGGTTCGATTCCCACGGGGGGCTAGTATGAAAAAATAAAAAATGTATGTATGCACTCACTAACCGTAAGTCGCTCTAGATAAGAGCGTCTGCTAAATGACGTAAATGTAATTAGGACTCATCTGTGTGTGTGGGAGAGAGAAGCAGACCACACAGTCCGTTGAGACAGAGAGGCACACCTCATTGAAGTCAGGCCAAGTTGGTGATGGATCCTGTTCCCCAGCCAGAGACTGAGGAAATCTTCAGACCTAACTAAGTACAGTGGGGGGGAAAAAGTATTTAGTCAGCCACCAATTGTGCAAGTTCTCCCACTTAAAAAGATGAGAGAGGCCTGTATTTTCATCATAGGTACACGTCAACTATGACAGACAAAATTAGAAGAAAAAAAATCCAGAAAATCACATTGTAGGATTTTTTATGAATTTATTTGCAAATTATGGTGGAAAATAAGTATTTGGTCAATAACAAACGTTTCTCAATACTTTGTTATATACCCTTTGTTGGCAATGACACAGGTCAAACGTTTTCTGTAAGTCTTCACAAGGTTTTCACACACTGTTGCTGGTATTTTGGCCCATTCCTCCATGCAGATCTCCTCTAGAGCAGTGATGTTTTGGGGCTGTCGCTGGGCAACACAGACTTTCAACTCCCTCCAAAGATTTTCTATGGGGTTGAGATCTGGAGACTGGGTAGGCCACTCCAGGACCTTGAAATGCTTCTTACGAAGCCACTCCTTCGTTGCCCGGGCGGTGTGTTTGGGATCATTGTCATGCTGAAAGACCCAACCACGTTTCATCTTCAATGCCCTTGCTGATGGAAGGAGGTTTTCACTCAAAATCTCACGATACATGGCCCCATTCATTCTTTCCTTTACACGGATCAGTCGTCCTGGTCCCTTTGCAGAAAAACAGCCCCAAAGCATGATGTTTCCACCCCCATGCTTCACAGTAGGTATGGTGTTCTTTGGATGCAACTCAGCATTCTTTGTCCTCCAAACACGACGAGTTGAGTTTTTACCAAAAAGTTATATTTTGGTTTCATCTGACCATATGACATTCTCCCAATCCTCTTCTGGATCATCCAAATGCACTCTAGCAAACTTCAGACGGGCCTGGACATGTACTGACTTAAGCAGGGGGACACGTCTGGCACTGCAGGATTTGAGTCCCTGGCAGCGTAGTGTGTTACTGATGGTAGGCTTTGTTACTTTGGTCCCAGCTCTCTGCAGGTCATTCACTAGGTCCCCCCATGTGGTTCTGGGATTTTTGCTCACCGTTCTTGTGATCATTTTGACCCCACGGGGTGAGATCTTGCGTGGAGCCCCAGATCGAGGGAGATTATCAGTGGTCTTGTATGTCTTCCATTTCCTAATAATTGCTCCCACAGTTGATTTCTTCAAACCAAGCTGCTTACCTATTGCAGATTCAGTCTTCCCAGCCTGGTGCAGGTCTACAATTTTGTTTCTGGTGTCCTTTGACAGCTCTTTGGTCTTGGCCATAGTGGAGTTTGGAATGTGACTGTTTGAGGTTGTGGACAGGTGTCTTTTATACTGATAACAAGTTCAAACAGGTGCCATTAATACAGGTAACGAGTGGAGGACAGAGGAGCCTCTTAAAGAAGAAGTTACAGGTCTGTGAGTGCCAGAAACCTTGCTTGTTTGTAGGTGACCAAATACTTATTTTCCACCATAATTTGCAAATAAATTCATAAAAAATCCTACAATGTGATTTTCTGGATTCTTTTCTCTCTCAATTTGTCTGTCATAGTTGACGTGTACCTATGATGAAAATTACAGGCCTCTCTCATCTTTTTAAGTGGGAGAACTTGCACAATTGGTTGCTGACTAAATACTTTTTTCCCCCACTGTAGCTTTTGGATGATGGAGAGAACGTCCAATCACGTACTATCTTTTTTGTCTGTTTGTAGCTCCGTCCAGGCTGAGCTGCTCCATGGGCTGTTTGAGGCTGTCCTGATCAGCTGGAATTGAGGATATTGGCTCAGGAGCCTTGTTAGCACAGGGTCACATCTGTAAACAACAGAATGAACAGTATATACATACAGTTCATCCTGGACCTCACTCAAAGATGACTCCCACAGTACATCTATCAAGTCATTAGACGTCTAACATGATTTTAATCTATATACTTGTCTTTCCACATATATATATTTTTTCAGGCCAACGTGTGTGATTAAGTGACATATTGGCAGATATTAGCCTCATACCTGTTGTAATTACCTGATTGTTTGGAGGTGTTATGCAAAACCACAAGAGGGCCTTGGATCGAAAAACAGATTAGTTAGCAGTGTTTTTAGAGACAAGCTATTGCTTAGCAGTTCATTTGTAGTATGTTCCAGGGATTCTGAGAACATCTATTAAAGATGTGAGATGTGTGCTAGTAACTAGTGTTTGTTGGTTGTGATCAGGAACGCAGGACACATCCAGCTGTGCTCTATTAACTCCCTCCCTGAGAGATGAGTGTGTCCCTTTGCTTCAACTCTGGAGGGTCATTGGATACTATGTGCAGTTCCTTATGGAATCACACTCACGTGGATACACACACATTCTTAATATAATATAATATAATATGCCATTTAGCAGACGCTTTTATCCAAAGCGACTTACAGTCATGCGTGCATACATAATTTTTTTTGTGTATGGGTGGTCCTGGGGATCGAACCCACTACCTTGGCGTTACAAGCGCCGTGCTCTACCAGCTGAGCTACAGAGGACCACGTTGTTTAATAGTGCAGATTTTTATTTATTTATTATGGACAGGATTGCACAAAGGCTGTTGTTTATATGTATTGGCTTGATAAAAAGGGTGATACAATTCATAGTTTGTTCAAGTTAGCCTTTGTTCAAAATGTCCGGATACATATTTTTTAGGGGTGTAACGATTCGTTTTAACAACGATTCGATTTGTATCACGATTCGTGGTTGTCGATACGATTTAAGGACGATATTGGTTCATTTAGAACGATACGATCCGAAACGATTCAGTGACTTGAAATCGATTCAGTAACATTTTAGCCAAAAATTCAACCAGTGTGACTGAAATAAATACCTGGATACTGGACAGTGCAGGTGAAGTTTCCTAGATTCCTGTTTCTTGTAAGGACCGCAATGGTGGCTTGATAATTTCTCGCTCGTCGGCTTCTCCTCTGTCGTCCGCCATGCTATGTTTTGTTGTCTTGGCGCCTTTGCGCTGCTGCTGGCACGATGACGTCACGGATAGGCAGACTGAATCGAGTAATGTTTAAAGCCTTTATCATTAAAAGTGCTAAGAAAAAACATCCATATAAAGTCTGACGTGCTTAAATCCAACGGGTTATTTCCTAGTATCGATACAATCGATTTATTACATTTTAAAACGATGTTAGATCGATATATGTTGTCCAAAAGGCCAACTCGCCGAGCACAGATCGATGTAGTTGGACCATAGGAATATAAATCGATACATCGATGTAGTAGATGGATCGTTACACCCCTAATATTTTTATTTTTATTAATTTTTTAACTTAACCGTTTTTGTGTTTTTGATGAAGACTCCCTCATGACTGGTTCAGTTACAAAAAAAATCAAGAGGGGCTTCCTATCTATCACGGGTCTCCCCATAGATCCAGAGCTTTATTTTGGTATCACCATATAGCCAGAGCTTTGTTTTGGTCTCACCATAGAACCAGAGCTTTGCTTTGGTCTCACCATAGAACCAGAGCTTTGTTTTGGTCTCACCATAGAGCTAGAGCTTTGTTTTGGTCTCATAGAACCAGAGTTTTGTTTTGGTCTCACCATAGAACCAGCGCTTTGTTTTGGTTTCACCATAGAACCAGAGCTTTGTTTTGGTCTCACCATAGAACCAGAGCTTTGTTTTGGTCTCACTATAGAACCAGAGCTTTGTTTTGGTCTCCCCATAGAGCCAGAGTTTTGTTTTGGTCTCCCCATAGAGCCATAGCTTTGCTTTGGTCTCCACATAGAACCAGAGCTTTGTTTTGGACTCCCCATAGAACCAGGGCTTTGTTTTGGTCTCACTATAGAACCAGAGCTTTGTTTTGGTCTCCCCATAGAGCCAGAGTTTTACAGAGGCAGTTGAGCCCCAAGAGAGACAGAGAAATGTATTCCAGACTGCCAAGACCATGCAGACCCAGACTCTATCCTTCCTCCCAAGGGGCCATGTCCAGCCCTCTTGGGTTCTCATTCGAACCATGGACCACAGCATGGCCAATGTGTACAACAGTCCCAATGCTCTGTCTAACAATTAATAATCCTTGCTTGCGATACAGTTTTGGAAAGCTTAGGAATTCTACTTTTATATCACCCCAAAATTATTTTACAACTACAAAATATACACTTACTGTGCGCCGTTCTAACACATTCCCACAGAGGTGTTTTGTGTTGCAAATTTACCTGAAGTAGGACTCTTCCTAAGCTAATGTAAACTCGGGACCAAAAAATATACAAAAACATGGCTTGAAGCTGTGTGTCACGCTCGTCGGGAAGAGAGGACCAATGCGCAGCGTGGAATGTGAACATACTTATTTATTTGAGTCACCACACGAACAAAACAACAAACGATAACGTGACGTCCTTGGTTACACTACACAAAACCAATACGGAACAAGAAACCAGACCAAATGAATGCCAAACGGCTACCTAAGTATGGCTCCCAATCAGAGACAACGAGCTAGAGCCGTCTCTGATTGGGAGCCACCCTGGCTAACATAGATATACAAAACCTAGAAATAAACACCCTGGCTCAACATACGAGAGTCCCCAGAGCCAGGGCGTGACAGTACCCACCCCCCCCCCCCCCCCCCCAAAGGCGCGGACTCCGACCGTGCCAACCACACACAACAGGGGAGGGACCGGGTGGGCACTCCGCCTCGGCGGCGGATCCGGCTCCGGACATGACCCCCACTCCCTCTCTAACCCCCCAAAGCGCCCCTGGTCCGGTCTGGCCCTGCTGGCCGGAGCTGGACTGAACACTGGTGGAGCGGATTGCTCTAGCTCCGGAGTGGAGCAGCTGACCGGTGCCGGACCAGGCATCGGTGGAACAGGTACGGGCTGTGCCGAACTGACGACGCGCACCACTGGCTTGGTGCGGGGAGCAGGAACGGGACGAACCGGACTGACGACACGCACCACTGGCTTGGTGCGGGGAGCAGGGACGGGCCGAACCGGGCTGACGACGCGCACCACTGGCTTGGTGCGGGGAGCAGGAGCGGGACGAACCGGGCTGACGACGCACACCACTGGCTTGGTGCGGGGAGCAGGGACGGGCCGAACCGGGCTGACGACGCGCACCACTGGCTTGGTGCGGGGAGCAGGAGCGGGACGAACCGGGCTGACGACGCACAGGCTGACGACGCACACCACTGGCTTGGTGCGGGGAGCAGGAACGGGACGAACCGGGCTGACGACGCACAGGCTGACGACGCACACCACTGGCTTGGTGCGGGGAGCAGGAACGGGCCGGACCGGGCTGGCGACGCGCACCACTGACTTGGTGCGAGGGGCAGGAACAGGCCGGACTGGGCTGGCGACGCGCACCACAGGCTCGATGCGGGGAGCAGGAACAGGCCGGACCGGGCTGGCGACGCGCATCACAGGCTCGATGCGAGGAACAGGAACAGGCCGGACCGTACTGGGGACACACACCACTGGCCCTACGCGGGGATCAGGAACGGGCCGGACCGGACTGGTAACACACCCCAGTACCTCTCGCTGTGCCTCTACACTTTCCCTCCCCTTTGTGACCAGTGGCCCCCGTAACCTGGCGGCCTCCTCTGCTAACCCGCTGGACCGCTCTATCGCGGCCTCCTGCTGCCCCGTCGTCCACGGCGTGAGCCCCCCCTTAAAAAAATTCTGGCCGTCTCTCCCCGTGGACCAGGCCTCCATGTCTCTCGCCAGACTCTCACCCCACTGCTCCAAAGTCCAACCTCTCTCCTCTTCACTTGGCTTGGCCCAGTCGAGACTCTTACTCCACTGCTCCCAAGTCCATCCTCTCTCTTCTTCACGCTGCTTGGTCCTGTTATGGTGGTTTCTTCCGTCACGCTCGTCGGGAAGAGAGGACCAATGCGCAGCGTGGAATGTGAACATACTTATTTATTTGAGTCACCACACGAACAAAACAACAAACGATAACGTGACGTCCTTGGTTACACTACACAAAACCAATACGGAACAAGAAACCACACCAAATGAATGCCAAACGGCTACCTAAGTATGGCTCCCAATCAGAGACAACGAGCTACAGCCGTCTCTGATTGGGAGCCACCCTGGCTAACATAGATAAACAAAACCTAGAAATAAACACCCTGGCTCAACATACGAGAGTCCCCAGTGCCAGGGCGTGACACTGTGTTACACAAAAACAGCTTACAGTGAGTGTATGTTTTCTTGCTATTAGCCACAGCTAGCGGTATTTCACCCAGAACATTGGATTTTTTTTCTGCGGGATTAATTTTAATCACTGGACATTAATCACCGGATATTCGGCCAGTCTGCACAGCGCGTTATCGACCCAGAACATATCAGTTTTTCCGCCGGAATCACTGAATCACTGGACCTTTAACTCCGGATTCATCGCTACCAGCTAGCTACAACAAAACGGACGCTGTGGTCTGGCTAATCATCCTGAGCTAGGCCCATCTCCCGGCTATCTACCTCTCTGTCAACCGGACGGGACCACCTAGTGTTGACACGGAGCCCCGCCGATCCTACAGGACTGGTCTGCCGACGAAATCGTCTGATGTGGTTACGACGTTAACCACGAAGATTCCATCCATCTGCTAGCCCCGGCCCGCTAGCACACGCTAGCCGTGGCCTCTTACTCACTAGTGCTTTACCACCGGACCTTATGATAACTCAGCTATACAGCTGATGTCTGCTGGACTGTTCCTTTTTACGGTACTACATCCTGTTTATGTTTAGCCTCAGCCCAAACATGGTTAGTTTATTGTTGTTTCGGTTATTTCTAATTGTACTATATCACTGTAGACCCCCCAGCCTAGCTAAACCTGCCTTAGATAGCTCCTTTGCCCCTCCCCCTATACACGCGGAGACCGACTCAATTGATGCCTCCAGCGATGCTATCTCTTTCATTGTTACCCAACGCTTAGGTTTACCTCCACTTTACTCATATCCTTCCATATCCTTGTCTGTACATAATGCCCTGAATCTTTTCTATAACACCCGGAAATCTGCCCCCTTTATTCTATGTACCCAACGCTCTAGAAGACCAGTTCTTAAAGCCTTTAGCCGTATCCTTATTCTAGTCCTCCTCTGTTCCTCTGGTGATGTAGAGGCTAACCCAGGCCCTGCAGCCCTCAGTATCACTCCTACTCCCCAGGCGCTATCATTTGCTGACTTCTGTAATCGCAAAAGTCTTGGTTTCTTGCACATAAATATCAGAAGTCTACTTCCTAAGTTTGAGTTATTCACTGCGTTAGCACACTCTGCCAACCCTGATGTTCTAGCAGTGTCTGAATCCTGGCTCAGGAAGGCCACCAAAAATTCTGAAATTTCCATCCCCAACTATAACATTTTCCGTCTAGATAGAACTGCCAAAGGGGGTGGAGTTGCAATCTACTGTAGAGATAGCCTGCAGAGCTCTATCATACTATCCAGGTCTGTGCCCAAACAGTTTGAGCTTCTACTTCTAAAAATCCACCTTTCCAGAAATAAGTCTCTCACTGTTGCCGCTTGCTACAGACCCCCCTCAGCCCCCAGCTATGCCCTGGACACCATATGTGAATTGATTGCCCCCCATTTATCCTCAGAGTTTGTACTGCTTGGTGACCTAAATTGGGATATGCTTAATACCCCAGCCATCCTACAATCCAAGCTAGATGCCCTCAACCTCACGCAAATTATCAACGAACCTACCAGGTACAACCCTAAATCCGTAAACATGGGTACCCTCATAGATATCATCCTGACTAACATACCCTCTAAATACACCTCAGCTGTCTTCAACCAGGATCTCAGCGATCACTGCCTTATTGCCTGCGTCCGTAACGGGTCCGCGGTCAAACGACCACCCCTCATCACTGTCAAACGCTCCCTAAAACACTTTAGCGAGCAGGCCTTCCTAATTGACCTGGCCCAGGTATCCTGGATGGATATAGATCTCATTCCGTCAGTAGAGGATGCCTGGTTGTTCCTTAAAAGTAATTTCCTCTCAATCTTAAATAAACATGCCCCATTCAAAAAATACAGAACTAAGAACCGATATAGCCCCTGGTTCTCCTCAGACTTGACTGCCCTTGACCAGCACAAAAACATCCTGTGGCGTACAGCATTAGCATCAAATAGCCCCCGCGATATGCAACTTTTCAGGGAAGTTAGGAACCAATATACACAAGCAGTCAGGAAAGCAAAGGCTAACTTTTTCAAACAGAAATTTGCATCCTGTAGCACTAACTCCAAAAAGTTTTGGGACACTGTAAAGTCCATGGAGAATAAGAGCACTTCCTCCCAGCTGCCCACTGCACTGAGGCTAGGAAACACTATCACCACTGATAAATCTACAATAATCGAGAATTTCAACAAGCATTTTGCTACAGCTGGCCATGCTTTCCATCTGGCTACCACTAACCCGGCCACCAACTCTGCACCCTCTGCTGCAACTTGCCCATGCCCCCCCCCCGCTTCTCCTTCACACAAATTCAGACAGCTGATGTTTTGAAAGCGCTGCAAAATCTGGACCCCTACAAATCAGCTGGGCTAGACAATCTGGACCCTTTCTTTCTGAAACTAGCCGCCGAAATTGTCGCAACCCCTATTACTAGTCTGTTCAACCTCTCTTTCATAACGTCTGAGATCCCCAGAGATTGGAAAGCTGCCGCGGTCATCCCCCTCTTCAAAGGGGGTGACACTCTAGATCCAAACTGCTACAGACCTATATCCATCCTGCCCTGCCTTTCGAAAGTATTTGAAAGCCAAGTTAAC